TTACGATAACTTATTCTTATCCTTTGGAATCGCGTCGAGGAGAATAATTCTAATCTATCAAATCAAGGATTTTTTTCGCGGCAGACAAGGATGCCTCGCGCGTCCATGCACGCTTCGGCGAGGTTAGATCGTTAAAACATGTTCCACGATAGCCAAGTAGCATTCGGGACTCGTCGGAGCGAGACACGTGAAAATAAACGCGCATCGAGCCAATAGTAGTAATCGGCTGTGATTCGAACTGCTCGCGGCCTTGCACTTGCTGCGTTTCACGAACGTTTCTCAACTTTCGCTTTCTGCATATCTGCCAACTCCTGCTGCTGCTGCTACCCTCGTGGCTGCGTCGTGCACCCCTTCGAAAACCCGGCTCTCCCGCATCAATTTGCGAAAGTGACCGCGCCGCCCAAGTTCTCGGTCGGTCTCGGCCAAGTGCACGATGTGCCGGTGTGACGTATATCGGCCGGCTCTCGTGAAAACGGCTAATATCGAACCTGCCCGCCTGTCGCGGATCAATACTCAGCGACCCCGACATTCAGAAACCTTCCACCCGCTCGTCCCTGCATCACCCGCATGCCGCCTCCACCTCCGCCTTCTCCTCTGCCTCCTCCCACCACCCCTTGCCAGTTCATTCATGCTTCCAAGAGCCCCCACCTCGACCCGTCCAGACCGATACAACCACCCTCCGTCACGCCGGTAGTCGTCTTTTCCGCGACTTTCTCGCACCGACAAAACGTAACAGACCGTTCCCCTTTATTATCGTTCCGTGGACCACAAACCCCTCTCTTTCCTTGTTTCTTTTCGCTGTCGCGTGGAATCGTATCCGCGTGCCGATAGTACATGCGAGTAGCAACTCTCGCACACGATTGTACACGCACCGTATAGAGACGTATTGATACGAAACAGATGGTTCGGCGCATGCCGCGTTTCGAGGACGTCTGATTCAAACTCGCGTTCAATTCTCGTGAGAGGAACGTCACCGCCGGATGACCGCGCATTTTTCCTTCTACTGGGAGTCTGCCGACTTGATTTTCGGTAGGAAGTAAAAGTAACGATTGTGCTTGTACTTGTACGTAGAAAGGAAGGAAGTTCTAACGAAAGAACGGCAGGATGCAGACGACCAGATAGAGGCACCCGGTCTAATTCTCGCTTCGCAGATAAAGCCATCCCCGTTATCGCGCGGTCCTTCCTGTTGATTCGCTTAGGTCGCGGGATGCACGCGTGCACTCGCGCGTCCGAATCGTCCCTCGTCTCTGTCTAGCCTGTGCTCGCGTCCATCCGCGTGACCTGCACCGTGTCGTCCACCGCCGTTCGTAGGTAGAGAATTTCAAGACTGATTGAGAATTCGATGAATGATTTACAGGCAGCCTGGCGGGCGAAGATCTGTCTCTCGAAGAGGCAACAGCGGAGGACGATGAGACAGCAACCTCGACCAGCAGGGATCATCGGCACCACCATCACCAAGAATCTCAGGATCAGGGCACGCCCGGCGCTCCACCCTCCACTAGTCCACCGCGTCACCATCAGGCTCAAGAGGACGCGGACCGTTGCAACGTGTTGCAGGGCGGAGTGATCCTCTATTCTCCTCATTCCACGTCTTCGGTGTCCTCAACGCCAGCGTCCGGCGTCAATATCTGCAACGTGCCAACGTTGACTTACCGTGGCGTCTTCACCACCACCTGCACGCAATCCTCGCCGCTGAACAGCCTTCAGAATCAGCAGCAGCCACCTCAACAGCAACAGCAGCAGCAACAACCGACTAGTCAGGAGCTCTGGGGTCCGTTGACCTCCCCGACCTTGACTTTGGCAAATTCACCCTTCCTCCACTCGACACTCCACCCAGCCCCGTACGGGGAAACCGTCGAGCTTCTGCCGGTCGAATCGAAGCCACCCCCGCCACCAGGTTATCATGACACGCCAACCACCACTCCGGCTGGCTGGTTAACGACGCACGAAGACCCGTACGATCCGAATCTCCTGTCCCACCATCATCCTCATCATCACCACCAGGAGACGACGCTGAAGCAAGAGCCAACCGGGACGAGTGGCTATGGGCCGGTCATTCAACAGCAACAGCAACAGCAACAACAACCTCAGCCTAGTCAACAGCAACAGCAACAACCACCACCGTCGGCTGGCACGACAGGCGTTCAGCTGGCCGAGTACAATCCCAGCACGTCGAAGGGACACGAGATTCTCTCGCAGGTCTGCCATCAGAGTCCGGTGCCGCTCAGGTTGGTCCCGGTGAAGCCACGAAAGTATCCGAATCGACCGAGCAAAACCCCTGTCCACGAACGGCCGTACGCCTGCCCTGTGGACGGCTGCGACCGCAGGTTCTCCCGCAGCGACGAGCTCACCCGGCACATTCGCATCCACACCGGCCAGAAACCGTTCCAGTGTCGCATTTGCATGCGCTCCTTCTCCAGGAGCGACCATCTCACCACTCACGTGAGGACGCACACCGGCGAGAAACCGTTCTGTTGTGATCAATGCGGACGTAAGTTCGCGAGGAGCGACGAGAAGAAACGGCACGCGAAGGTTCACCTGAAACAGAGGCTGAAGCGCGAGGCCAGCCACGCCTCCGCCAGGAATCACCCTCAAAGCCACGCTTCTCCACCCTGCAATCAATAAGAGAAGAAGAGTTTAACGAACTCTGTGTGTCTCGGAACGCTGTCGCTCCCTCTTCTCGTACTACGACGATCGACATCATACACTCATTCCTTCCTACCTTTGCCAATCATGCTCGCAGCAGCTTTTCTCAGCTTGCCAGACGATGAGGAAACGACGGAGACCTTTAGGCGGAACAGACGAACCAAACAGGTTGATGCTGACCCGTCACCGACTGATCCGTCGTCGATCGTCGTCGGCATTGCCAGCGATTGACGACTGGAGCTCGACATCTCCAAGGATTGGCCTTGCCACCGAATCGACGGCATCCTCGCCGGTGTAACGACGCGTGATACCGAGCTTCTCGGACAGTAGTACGTAAGGGATAACATTCTCGGAGGATTTTCCGCAAATAATCCTTTGTAAATAACGTCGTGGATAATTTTTAATCGGAACTAGAATTTCAAAACGGTATGTAAAACACAAATGTCCGTGTCCGGTGTGTAGTCGGTCTCGACGACGGGCTCGTCGCGTGTACGTAGAAAACGGATCGATCGAACCTTTTCCCTCTTGATCTCGCTAGAGGAACGATCGAGGAGAGACACAAAGTTGCGGTATATACACACAGTACATATATATATATATATATTTTTCCCCCTCGAGTTCTCGTTTCATTTTATTTTTTTCTCTCCCTTTTGCCTACGGTACCTTCGTATCTTGTACAAGAAAAAGAGAAGAGATCGAAAGTCACTGTACGCACGGTTGTATTTGGAACAGGCACTGGAGTGAATACGAGCGAAAATTCTAGCTTTGCCGAGAGATACTGTTAGGTTGTTTCCTCGACGATTGTCAGTATACGGTCTTCGTGCTTTTAGTGGCAAAGCGGGGAGGGAAACAGGAGAGAAGGAAAGAGAGAAGAAGAAAGTAGTCGAGGGGGGAAGAATATTCGAAGCGAACGACGCGTTGGAGATCGTTATTTACAGCGGTCGCGTTTTATGCCTCTGTTTGCGATCGGGAACGTGATGCAGATGCGAAAATCGCGCGTTAACCGCGCGTAGATACGCGCGCGAAATATTCCGATGTCACGAAATATACTGCAACCAGGATCTCCAACGAATCATGCAGAATCAATACCGTCCCGCAGCTTCCGGGAATCAGGGAGGAATTCGCCGAAGGAGAAAAGAAGAGGCGGAGGCAAAAAGAGGGAGAGAGAGAGAGAGAGAGAGAGAAATGGCGCACTCTCGATCGCATGCAAACGAGAGCGTGAAAAAAGAAAGAAAAAAAAATAGCCATGCGCGAGCACGCTTCTTGAAACGATCAGGGGATCGCGTATCAACTTTTCCAGCTCTCTCATGATCGAAACCGGTCGATGTTTTCGATCCTTTTACCGAGTATTCGTTCCTTCGGCCAATAATCGTGCAATTTTCGAATCCAGCAACATTGTCGTGCATCGACGGGTATTTTCTAAGTATATTTTTATAAATCACGAATACTCGACCGATGAAATGAAAAAAAAAAAAAAAAATGTAAAGTTCGATATGTCTTTCTCACGATCGGTATCGTTAACTCTATGAGAGGGCACAATCGCGAGACCCTGATGCATTTTCATGATTCGACCGACACCGACAGACTCAATCGGTGTTTACATACATATGTACACACACAAACACAAACACACACACACACACACACACATTTTGCGTCCTCAAACCTCGTGTCTTTCAATCATCACGATCGAATAATTCGCTTCTTAAATATTTGTTATCGTCCTCTACCTCTGAAACTCGTTCACTCGTTCCTACAAACATCCCTTGTGCTCCGAACACGCTAAATCTCGGACTTCTTTTCCTTCGTGTTCTCGCGAACTTCTTGCCACCACCTGCTATCTCCTGCTAACCTTTTTATTCCCTCTCCGCGTTAGAATTCAACTTTTGACAGAGTCCCTCGAGCTTAAGCTTAAGTCGAATCCGAAACGCGTCTCTCGTCCATTGTGTGAAGAATTAACCCTCTTCTAACCGCCAGCAAACCCCACGAGTAAAAAAAACTGTAATTAGTCGCGGTCATCGTTGTTAAACCGGGAGTATTCCTTTGTAAATATGTATATAACGTGTTATACATAAGTTACGTCTAATCGAATCGTGCCGCGAGAAATAGAAAGATAGAGACACACAGAGAGAGAGAGAGAGAGAGAGAGAGAAAAGGAGGGAAACCCATAAAATCTTTCACTTTCCTCCTTTTAATCTTGTCGCCCTACTTTCCCTCCTTTCCTCTCGTCCTTCTACGTTGCGATCGTTTACGTGTATAAAATATAAGTTTTAGCGGCGATTAATATTATGTATATGTTGCTCTATTTATTAACAAAAAGAAAAAAATCTCTCTCTCTATATACATGTATATGTATCTATATTATATATATATGATATATATAATATATATATGAACAGAGGAGATATCTATATATATATATATATATTGTTAAAATTAAAGAATTATTTTTATTATGATTATAATATTATAATTATATTAAATAACAATTATAATTAATAACGAAACGCGCGACAACGCGTACAGCTTATGGATCCCTCAGCGTTCTACGCTCTGTACCTACTCGGCGATTGTTGCACCGACGCGTGTGCGATATTATCCGCTATTGTTCTAGATAGATCGGAAAATATGTAAGCAGAGGTATACGCGCACGCACGCGCGTTCCCGTGAAATAAAAAGCAGAGAAAGATAAAGAGAAAGAGAGAGAGAGAGAGAGAGAGAGAAGTTATGCTTGTGTCTGTTTGTCTGTATGTGTGTGTAAATGCGATACGACTGCGAGAGAGAAAGGGAGGAGAAAAGAATTAATGAAGATTAAGAGAGAAGAGAAATAGAGAGGACAATTTTTTTACGAACGATAATTACACGATAATTGGTTAAATTATGTGTAACTATTATACAATATGGTGCTCCGAGTGTGCAATGCACAGAAAGGAATCTCTCAACTACCTGTATATTTGTGTTGTAATCATCGTTGCCGTTTAATCTGGCCGGTTCCCTACGACGATTATTAACAAAAATACAAAGTTAACATTGCAACAGCGCAACGCCTGGTTGTTCTTATTCCATTCACCTCTCGCGGCTACCAACAACACGCTCGTAATCGTCGACCACAAACGCCTGCCTCAAAAGTTCCCGCCTCGTCGCGTTATCACCTTTAACGGCGAGAAGGAAGGTTAAAGCTGAGGTTAAAGCTGAAAGCACGTTTCGTTTTCGATGCCCCCGGCCTTTCGATATGTAGTTTACATTTCCCGAATTTATCGGGATTCGCGATCTGCGAAAGGCCATAACGCCATAAATCGTTCGTGCCGCGTATTTGTAATATGTTCGCGAGCATAAATGGTGTGCAACAGTGTCGTTTGTCACGTCGAACGATATCTCGAGTGTCGTTGCCTCGGCCATTATTTTTCCCTTTTGCGCGTTAGCGTCACAGGCACATTCATCGATCGTAGACATCTTTATCGATCATCGACAATTACCGAATAGGGCATCGACGATCAAGGATGCCGATACAGCGAACCGCATCCTACGCGACCGAACTATTGTTCCTCCTGAGGTGGTGCGTTCGAAAGGCGGCCACCTAGAGATTAATAAGGACCGGTCTCCGCGTGTTGTACGAGACTGGCCGCTCTCGATGGAACACGCTTCGTTTCTGCCGCGTTTCCCGCGTACAACCTTTCACCGTGAACACGCGCGGTTGGCGCCTAAACGCGATCGGACTTTCCGGGCTACGAGCTTATCACCGATTTTTCTCCGCGGCGCGATACTAATCGCGAACAACCGGCAATTAGCAGCGGTCGCTCGTGCCAATTTTTCTCTTTCTCGAGACACGGCAGACACACGGTATTACAGTTCCTCTCTCCATTACCGAGTTTCTTCAAGTTCTTTATCGATCAGCCATCAATTCAGCTCCGTTCGCTTCGTCGCTAAAGTTTCCTTCAAAATTCGAGGCTCCTTGCAAGAGGATTGTATTTCCAGTTCGAAATAACGACGAAGTGAAAACACGTGATCGAAAGTACAAGTAAGTTTCCATGTAACTACACAGTGGTGGTGTACAATTTTCGGAGAGGAAAGAAAAAAGACGATTTCGAGATACGTCGCGTTAAAACACGTCGAAATAAAAGATCGTCGTCGTTGGTTGCCCAGAGCAGCATTGGTTCTTCCAAAAAAGGTAATCCATATGATTCAGAGGAGCCGAAAAGAAAAAAAAAAAAAAA